TAGACTCACCCTAGACTCAGAGCCACATGGATACGAGAGGTCGCTAGGCCCCTCTGCTCTAGGGTGGAAAAGCCTAGGCCCAGAAAGATGCCGTGCTTGCGCAAGGGCACCTGTGCAGTCGGTTGGGCCTGGCAGCACACTAGTCCAGTCTTCAGGTTGTGGCTGCTACCTTCCCTGCTTCCCCAGCCCGAGCTGTGAGAGTTCTAGATGGTGCTCTGACAGTGTGAGCTCATGAAAGATTACCAGGCAGAGGTTGAAACCTGGCTCCTGGGAGAGAGAGGCGTGTGAGGCCTTGGCAGGGAGCCGAGTGCTTGGCGGCTCTGGTTTCCGGGGCACAGTCCACGGCCCGGGGCTGGGCTGGGAGGACATGCCTGCCAGAGTCAGGATGGGGCGGGGAGGGCAGGGATGGGACACTCCACTGGGGCAGGGAGAAACCAGGACAGAGTGGGGCCGGGCTGAGGTGGGTGGGCCAGGAGAAGGCTGGGGAGAGGGGTAGGCTCCAGAACCCTGCCCATTTAAGGGGACTTCAGGGGAACCGTGCAGGGCAGGCTGTGTGTCTGGCCTTGATCCCCCAAAAGCCTGGGAGCAGCGTGCTATGTGATGAGTGATAATTCAAAACAGTGTTACCAGATCAAGCCTTAAGTGGAAAACTGCGGTCAAACGCAGGAGGAGAATTCAGATATGTCAGCTGAAAAGGTTAACCACAATGGTGATTGAGCTACATATTTGGCTTGGAGCTCCCTGGCAGCCAGACCAAAAGGAGAAAGAGGATGATTTCCATAGCACCTTGTAAGGTGAGGAAGTAGTCAGTCAGTCAGCACGTCTGTATTGAATGCCAACTGTGTGTCGGATACGGGGAGAAAAATAAGACAGCAAGGGTCCCAGCTCCCATGGATTTGTGTTCTAGGTGTGGAAGATTGAAAATAAAGTAGCCGTCTCAAGAGCATTTCGGAGATCACCAAGGGCTGTGAAAATGAAGAATAGAGGGTAACCTGGTGGTCAGGGAGGGCCTCACAGAGGAGGTGAGGTTTGAGCTCAGACTAAAGAAAGGAGTAGGTGACACTCATGTGGAGCTTTGAAGGAAGAATGCTCCAGAGTTGCAGGCCTGGAGCGGGAGGGGACTTGGTCTCCCGAAGGGGAGAAGGATGCTTTGGTAGCCAGACGGAAGGGAACAAAACATTGCCCTGGTCCATGGTGCAGTGAGGGAGGCCAGTAGCACAGGCCACACAGGGGCTCACAGGCCACACAGGGGCTCGCAGGCCATGGGAGGAGTGTGGATTTCGTTCTAGGCACTGTGGTCAGTCACGAGAAGGATTTGAGTGGGAGAGTGCCATGGTGCGACATGCCCTTGCTGCTCAGGTGAGACCCGTGCCCAGTTCAGACCTCGTCTGGCATCTGCAGCTCAGGAGCCTCTGCCCCCACCCCCAGATGTCTGCAGTGTTTCTTTTCTCTTTCCTCTGCTGTGGGCACCCAGAGCAGGGCCTTGGAAAGTTCCCGAGGCTTTCCCAGGGCCGCTTTTCCCTGGGCGTTCTGTGTGTGTGGCGTGACACCCACTCCGCTCCCACCCCATCCCACTCTGCCCTCACCCCTGTTCCGGGGCTCATGCCGGGCCCTGCACTGGGGTGGCCTGAACGGGAAGCAGGAGCCTGATGTTCGCAAGATGATGTCAGTTCAGGGAAACCAATGTTTATTGAGTGCCTATTGTGTGCAAGGCCCAGAGTCTGGGATGGGCCAGCCCCAGGCTCTTGCCTTCTGCCTTCTCCAGTTTGCCATGGGGCATGGTTAGTGCTGTGCAGCTTCCTGTCCTTGCGCAGCCTGTGCTGGGCAGTGCTTGGGACACATCTGTTCAGTAAGTGCTTAGTGAGCACCATGTTCTAGGTGCTGTGGGGACAGAATAGAATTAATCCCTTTCCTTATGGAGCTGGCCATATAGCTGGGGGAGTCAGGCAATAAACGTAGTGATTAAGTAATGATATAGGGTGTTAGAAGGTGCTCAGTGTGGTGAAGAGAGGAAGGGACAGCAGGAAAGGGGTTGGGGAGAGCTGGAGGCAAGGACCGAGATGGCAGACTGGGGGCGAGGGGGCGGAGCTGTGCACCTCTGGGAAGTGCAAGGACCCTGAGGCAGAAGTAGCTCCAGGGTGCTCCAGTAACGGGTGTGGGGGAGAGGGAGACCCCAGCATGCAGCGCCTGGAGGGCAGAAGTGCCTGGGAGAATCTCTGGGGGAATGAGATTCTCAGGGTCTCCAACTTTCCCTTACTTGTCTCTTCTTCCCTTAGGGCCCCTTAGGGGGCCCTCTCTCCTTTAAAAACAATGTTTTTTTATTGTGGTGAAATTCACGTAACAAAATGAACCGTTAACCATTTTGAAGCGTGCAGTTAAGTGGTGTGTGGCCCACTCACAGTGCGGTGCACCATCACCTCTGTCTAGCTCCAAAACATTTTCATCACCCCCAAAGGAAGCCTTGTTCCCTGTACACAATCGCTGCCCGTTACCCCCGCCCCTGCCCTTGGCAGCCCACAGTCTGCGTTCTGTCTCTGTGGAGTGCCTGTTCTGGACGCTTCTATGAATGGCCTCACACAGTGTGTGGCCTTTGTGCCTGGCTGTGTCAGCACAGTGTTTTCGGGGCTCGTCCGTGCTGAGCATGTCT